TTGTCTTCCCTTCCGCAGTGCTGAGTTGGTCTCTCGTGAGCCTGCCCTCCGCGACGTCGGAAACCAATACTCCTTAAACGTCGTCCGCAGAAGCCACTTGCGCTGACGCCGATCGATCTCTTTGCCGTTGCGAACTGGAGGAAAGCTGCTGGACCACTGGTCTTTGGCCTTGTCCAAGAGCACCAGCATGTCCTAGCGTTGTTGATCCATTGTTCCTTGGCGTTGTATCGTTATTCCCCTAGCGCGCTCGCTTGGGCTCATAACCCTGTTAGAATATGGATGGTAAAAGAGCAACTGATGTATTAGAACCAAGGCATTATCCCTGCACTAGCTCCTAGAATATGACTTCACTGTGCTGCTCACGAGCCAAGTTATGCAGCCTCTCGACAGGATTGCCACGTCAAACTACTTCCAGTCACTCCTGTCGATGGAAGTCGAATTTGAATTGAAGGATATCACGACTGACAAAAAGCACGGTGTGCGCAAGCAGATCATGTCTGTCAATATAAGGCGTCCCAAATCGGTGGAAACGTCGACCGTGTCGGCTTTCGTTATTGAGAAGCACTACATAACGATTGTGAAGGCGGCCAAGGCGACGCCGATAATAAAGTGGACTGAGTCGATGCTGAACGACAAAAACACGGCACTGCTTGACACACTGCCTGACCGCCTAATGGCAGCAGACGCAAAGGTCAGTGGAATTGTCAAGATCATTGGGAGCGCGACAAACCCTGATAAAATTGTGAAGAAGCTGGCCGAGAGTCATTTTGCGCTCAACAGTGCGCTATGACTCAAGATGGCAAGTCAAGATAATGACATCGCTGAAATCGCTCAATTGCATGTGATCGACCGGGTTTGTGTTCGACGAACCCCGGCGACGACATGACGTTTGGAAAAAGACCATGGGCTCTGCAGTACTGCTTGCAGCGCATGGTGGCCGCGCTTCGACGTGATCACAAAGTTGTTGCGGGTATCGAAGGCCTTGGCATGTTTGAGATGACTTTGATGTTCTTCAAGATCGACCACTGAATCCAGTACTCCACGGGTCCCCGGTCGAGTGGATCCCGGCGCACCATACGCGCTTTTTGCACCCGAACACGCTGCTCATGCTACTGTAGCTGGACATAAGCCCACATTGCATGATGCAGTAACGCGATGTACAATAGCAGGGTCACCTGCTTGATGACGTGGAAGCTCTACGAGCACTTAAAGGCTACTACATTGAAGTCAAGTCGGTGCTGAAGACCTGCGTTGCTAGTGATGGCTCGGTGACGACAGTGGCAAGTGCCTTGGCGAATCGTTGGTAATGGCCTCTCATCCCAGCGCGCCTGGAATGGCGTTAGTCTTTTGATTGCCAGTACAAACAGTATCAACAAGAACGGCCACCTTTACATTGAACATCTTCTATCAAAGCACTTGGTGTACTGCATCCAGAAAACCAAGTTCGGTGACGCGCAACACCTCTCAACGTTCAACTATCATCTTGACTCGAGCTTCAAACACAAGCTCTTTGTCAACGACCCAAACGCACTGTTGGATCGACCTAATCGTGATCGAAGCAGTTGGAGTGACGACCGTACTACGCTCCGACTTCCCGGGTTTCGACTCGGCTATCGTTGTATCACGCTTGTCTGTTCCGAGCTGGTACCTCGTTGTGAAGGGATGGTTGAGCTTGTTTCCATTTACATTCATAACGTATTATCGCCCGTCGATCGCCAGGCAGCAATTCTTTCCGTGCTTGGACACTTACAATTTAAAGAATAACTCGACGCACTTTACGCTCGGCGACTTGAATACACCGCTCGATTTACGACTCGACTGCTCCACACCCAAATTGCGCTACGATCCGAGTCGATCCAGCTGCCTCAAGTGGTTAGCGAGGCTTGATGTTGTTGACGCATGGCGAACATCGGTCTAGTTCACACCACGATATCGACCTGCTCACGAATGACGATATATTCCCGGCAAACGCACCTTCCGTTGCTCCAACTGCGACAATACAGCCGACGCAAGCCCAAGCAAAGATACCCAATACACTGAATGCATCTGAAGCAACGAAACGACCGGTACTGCCCAAGACATTCGCGCAAGAGGCGTCAGGCAAGTTCAACACCTCGCTTCAACAGGCTGTTGAGGAGATCAAGAAGCGTGATGCGAAGCTCCATGGTGGAGATCAGCATGGCAACTTGAAGAAGATCGATCAAGCTGCCGCCTTTAGAATGAAGAGCCGAGCGAGTGTCCTGGCGTCGGAGACGAACGGTGACCTGGTGCCTGTGATAGCCGGGTCTGTTTAGGATGTGTAGGTGGCTAATGGCGATGAAGACCGCGTTTCAATGCCACAAGAGGTGCGTGTCTTCTCCGTGAAGGATACTGCAGCACTAGGTAGAGCAGCGTAGTCGACCACGCGTACGGAGGCACTGGGGATGCGGTTGAGATCCGGTCGAGCAAAGCTCCAAGCTCCAGGCAAGAGGAAGGCTTGAGAGCCTGCCGTCCACAGTAGGTTAACAACAACGGCGGATCCCATCGTAATTATTGGTGATCGCCGAGACGAACCAGAGCGTGGACGGTGCTATCACGTTCGTAAAAAGATAGATCTGAAGATTGGCTTAGTCGTCGAGGCCTGGAAGAAGACGACAACGCCCAGGATTGCGACTTCGTGGACGTGTGGTATGATGTGGACAAACGCCGTACCAAGCCGTTCTGTCGGTTCCTGAAGGGCCTTTCTGGGTACCGTTCGCACCAGAAGGCAGGAGAAGATGCGCATTGAGATCGTATCGCAGTGAATGCCTTGTATGAGCGAAATGGTTGGGCTCCCCTTGTGTCCAGGGAAGACTAGAAGAGTTTACTCAGGGCGAAAAATATCAGCTTGGATGAATGGCTCGGTATAAGATAACTAGACGCGCTACTGAGCTGCATCAAGAAAAATGGAGATGCACCCAACCTGCACCTTGACCGAAGCTACTTCGCTCGGGAAATGAATTTGTTTAACGGACGGTGTGACGGTGTTGACGGCATCTTCGAGCTGGAACTGGAGCCTGGGATGTATCTGGGGATCAGCGACCTCTCGGAGACTCTAAGTCACTGTATGGCTCTGGAGGTGCTGGACAAGACGCGCAGCCACCAGGTCTACGATCAACATTCGTGGATTGGATTGGACTGAGCGACACGGAAGAATGGTTGTACCGCGTTCGTGAAATTTACCGTGCTGTGTTCATGGGGGACCTGAGTCTACCGGCCACGAAGTGCAAGACATCGTACAGACTGCCCCGTGACGGGAAAGTGAGGACGCCCAAGACTCTTTAGGACGGCATCGATCCCAGGAGAAGACATCATTAAGGAGCGTCTGAGCTTGATGTCAGAAAGAATTAAATAGCACGTCGCGATCCAAGGCTCACACGTCGCCTGACTAATTTCAATCTTTGATAACAAGATTTGATAAATGCTGTATCCATAGCTTCTTTTCTTCATGTAACATTAGACTGTATATTGGAGTTGATACTGTATAGTGTATATAATTTGCTAGGTACAATTGAGAAGTTGTACCGGGGTTACACGAATCCTGATAACAAGGGTGTGTGTGTCACAAGAGATATGCATGGTGTGACCACACCCAAACAAGAATATGGTATGT